ATTTTCTTATGCTTACGCATTATGCGTTGTGCAGAAGTGTGTGCTCCCCGCTTTATTCCATATTTTTGTCATTGTGTCTGAGCCTTAAAATGCTGGGTCTACAATGCGAGTCGTGGGTCGTGGGTCGTAGGAAATTGACCAATCACATTCGAATTTGAGGAGAATAATCAACTGAGATTGGTTAATTTCTTGCGACTCGCGACTTGCGACTGCTTGCAACTCGCATTGTAGACCCCGCATAAGTTTATCCGAGTCTCCAATCTACCTATGTTACTTGCATCGTGCAGAGACGCGCGAACGTTGAGCGGCTTTGATTTCTGATCGCCATTAAATCGTATCTTTTTCTATGAAGAAATAGCGTTTGAAAACTCAAGTTGAACGTATACAGAAGTAAGTGTCGATTTCTATAACGTATATATCTAGTAGATAAACTTCATTTAACGCCTTACGCATACAAAGAAATCGTTTCGATCAAAGATCAGCAAGTCCGTGGTCCAAATTACGATCGCTTACGACTTGCTGCTTTCCAAGTAGAACAGCAAGTCACAATAGAATCAAAATAATGTCAAAATGACGGTGTTTGGTCACTTTATCATCATTTTAACGTTATTTTGATTTCATTGTGACTTTCTGTTCTACCTGGGTTGAATCAAGAGAGAGATCAGTAGTCTCGTAAAAATTACATATTATGATCAACTTTCAGCAAACTGGCAAACTGGCAACTGGCATCAGAGATGAACTGGATAACGTGCAACAAATGCTTCGCCCCGTTGTACAGAGGAAAGCGTCCCTATGTCATTACCCAGTGTGGCCATATTTCTTGCCAGAATTGTTTACAGCAAGGTAAACCTTGAGAAAAATTTTCGTGTGTTACGATTTATTTTCCGATTTCAACTGTTCACTATTTGCGACTTACAGTCGAGCAGCCGCAATGTCCACAATGCCAGGGTGGTACCATGTCGCTAGCCCTGGAGGAGCCGCTGAAGCCGAGGCTGATCCCATACTTCCAGCCACTCGGCAAGATTCTGGAAATGCAGTCGAAAGTGAACATGTTTTGGAGCAACCAGATGAAAATATTGATGCACCACTTCACTGAACTCGTACAAA